TCCCCCTCCCTACGATCACGTGTCAGGGGCGGAAAAATGGCCACGGACCACATGTCGGGCGGAAAAATGGCCGCGGATCACGTGTCAGGGGCAGAAAATGGCCGCGGACCACGTGTCGGGCGGGAAAATGGCCACGGACCACGTGTCGGGCAGAAAAATGGCCACAGACCGTGTCACGGGAGGGAAAATGGACGCATATCCTGCTCGTACCCCGAGGCGGAGTTCACAAATCGCGGTAAATTTTTGCGGCCGGAGCTGTCGTAACCCGAAAAGTTCGTTAACAGAGGCGTTCGTAACCCAAGGTACCACTGTAATAGGTGTCTTTTAGAGAACTGAAGACATTTCGGATTAATTAAGAATGAACATGCCACCTCAAGCTGCTATTCCCAATAATTTAAACTTCTGAAAGGGGCTTAAAGATTTTTAAAACTAAGGCTATCAATCAGCTTCCTCCTCTAAAAGATTAAGTAGTGATATTTGGATGAAATGGGGGCTGAATGATCTTTTCAGGCCATTGGACTTTGATATAAGAACTCCAGCATCATCTTAAAAAATCAAAAATAAAACCAAGCATTGATCCACTAAGCACTTTTAGCCACTGTTCAGGTCAGTTACTCATAATGTAGATTATTCTATCTGTAAGTACAAGTAGCATAAATACAAATGAAATTTGATCAAATTCTTCTCGTTTATGTCTTTTGTGAGTTAAAAATTCACAGCACATCCTTTGAAAGCATGGTTTATTAACATTTCAATAAATAAATGTTCAGTCTCTGCCTTGAAGGAAAATGGGAAGGGGGGAAATTCCAGCCTAAATTCCATTGCCAGCAATGGATAAAGGTTAATAAATAGTGCTTGCCTATTAAAAATCTTAAGGTGTATGGCAGTACAGACTGAAGACCAAAGTCTAATTTCTAGGGCTAATCTATACTTTTAAGACAGGTTTATGATACCAAAGTCCTAGATTGTGCCACTTCCAAATCTATGATTGCATTTCCTACCTCAGAATTCCCTGCATATTGAAAAAGCTAAACTGGAGTAGAATCATCCTTGGTCATCAAAAGCAATCCTTGAATCTAGGGAGATTCTGAATTCTATAGTAGTTTAGCCCTCGAACTGTGTAACGCAATTCTTAATGTGCAGAAGAGCTGAGTATCCTGCCTGTTTCTAAGCATGCTACCTCAACAGAATACTAGAAGCTTAATGTACAACCCTCAAAATTCTTCACAGAAGAAAATAAGGCCCTCTGTGTGGCCTTTTGTATATTATTTTCTCACCAAAAATAGTGATACTGCATTTAAAATAGAATTGTTGTCTAATGTTAGAAAATCTAGTGATTTCATATTATATGAAAGTGAGATGCATCAGTATTGCTTCTCTCTCGGCTCTTGTTTGCTTGCTTTCTGTTGCATCGGGCCACAGACTCCTGTGAGAACCATGAAGATCCAAAAAGTGATAGAAATTAATTATTTCAACACAGTGGTGGAGTAAAAAAATCCTGAATTACCCTCATATTCATTTCCAAAACTCTTCAACAAGAGCTGCACCATTTCAATTCATGCACATCTTATGCCTAAAATTGGTGTTAGAGAAACAAATCAACATGTAAATCTGACAATGCAATTAGGTGAGCATATATAGCAGTCTAATATACAACAAATAAACTTCCAACTTTAAGGGGAAAAAAAGAAATCTCATAATTACATAAACTAGTAAGTTATGAATTTAATTCTGCTGCTTCTCTTTACTCAGGCTAGATCCTTCGGTGCATTTTTTCAGCGTTTTAGAATCCTGGAAGTTTTCTGCAAATCTTTCTCTTGCTTTTTCCCAATTCCTTTTGTTTTTGGTATTGATGATCTGAACCTCTTCAGCAGAAATAGGCATACTTGCACCTAAGCCTGCGTGCTTTCTGTGCAGCTGAAGTTTGATCTGTTAGACATTGAATTTTTATAAATTAAATTCAATAAACATGCACTCTGTAATTTTAATTATTGTGTTAGACTTGAAAATAACAGAGTTGTGTGCAGAACCTGGAAATAAAGTTCTTATTACTTTGCTAAAATATTATTAAGGCACTGGCAATGTGAATTAATGCTTTGTATATACAATTCCATCCTTCCTTTGTGGCATTAAGACACCCAAATGGCTAATAGGAATATATAATAACATATAGAAATATATTGCTGGATTTACTTTGTTCCTCTCCCAGCCACGGCCTCAAAATATACTCTAGAAGAGAGACAGGCTACAGAGAAAGGTGAGGGAGATGGGGAAGTCCCACTGCATAGCAGACTTAGATTTTACCAAGTATATTACAAGATCAGGCATTAATCAAGAAATTTCTTGTACTTTCAAGTGTCTTTAAGACTTTTTTTTTTTACCAAAACAAGTAAATATGTTTTGTAGCTATGCCTTCAATTAATTTTGCAATGTCAAATTTCAAATGTATGTTTCAGTCAGGTGAAGTACTTCTTCACCCTTTAATTTTATCATACATGGAAAACCTTCCAATTTTCTTAGACAACTTAATTAAGCCTAAAGTGAGTTAGCAGTGACCCTTCAGACACTGAGGTATAATTCTCAGTTTTTCTCATCAATGACCATTCTAAGGCTCCTGGGAGTTCCAATATGGCAACATCTGAAATACCAAACATGCCACCCCTAACAAAAGCTCTTATAGTTTGAAAGACTTTTTCAAAGTTTAATCATCCTTGCAGTTCAAATTATTGCAAGCCTTATTACTGTTTCAGAACAGATTTCTTAATTTCTTAACCCTGTTGTATATCATGTTAGTATGACAGCCATGCGTATCATGCATGCATATCATGTTTCTTAGGCTTGTTAGCAAGCAGCAAAAATGAAAAGATCACTGAGAAATTTGAATTTGTTTGCTTTATCAGTTCCAGTAAATTTAATACAGTGCACAAACTATATCCTTGCAAATACAATTTCATATGACATCTGTGCACAGATTCCTTTGCTTTTAAAGCAAAACTTTGCATTCTGTCAAAGCAGAATGGCGGTTATCCCAACTCCACTGTTCATATACCTATGCTGTCAGATTGTGCAAAACATATGAAAGAGGTGCTTTACAATGTACACAAGCTCGAGTAAAGCCCTTTTTTCAATTATTGAAACAGTGACGTATTTTACAAGGTTCACACAGCTGCCTCTGCATGTATATGCATGCACAGCTACTTTACTCCAGCTGTTGGGAAACTGCTGCACAAATATTACAAAAGATGCACTGAAAAGTTGCTTTGTTAGTGTTCCTGCGTATTGTAAAGCATCTCATTGGAATGGTTTGCTCATCCCTACTACATTGTCAGAATGGTCAGTTCCCAATCACAGGCATCTTAATACTAAGTAGTAGGGATTACAAAACATTGCATGCATGGAACAGGCAATACTTGTCCAAAGCACATATGTTATGTTCGGGCACAGACCCAGAACACACATTCTGGGTCTGTGCCTAGACATAACACATATGTTCTGAGCAGAGATGTTCTGGTGTGGGAGACAGAGGGGAAAATGCAAAACCATTAGTATTTGCACCCAGCAGCAGCCAAGTGCAGGGAATGGAAAGTAAGGTGATGAAAAGGTTGGGGGGGGGACAAGTGGGCTGGGTGGGTATGCCATGCTTTTGAGCACAGCAGCAGTGGCAGGGAAGTAAGGGAACAAAAGGTACTGGGAATGGGGAGAGACAGATGGGTCATGGCAGGAGGGTGCTGGGAGATCACGAAGAGGGGTGGAGGGCCAGGCAGGTGTCTTACACTTGAATTCATGTGTGGCAGCAAAAAGGAGATAAACTGAGCAGGCTGGCACACAGGCATAGGGAGGAGAATGGGCAAGGCACATCATCTTATCCTACTTGCTCATGAGACCCTTGCAGATTTTTTCCAGATGAAACCAGAAACAACTAAAACGTTTGAGGTTTCAGTCTGGTTAAATCATGACACACCCAGAACAGGCCAGCTGAATTATGAACCACAATGTTTGTTTCATGCATGAAACATACATTTTCCATTCCATGTGCACTCCTACTTTATATTTTCCCATTTCCATACACAAATACTTGTTGGCAGTACCCAAATAAGCAGCAGCAAATCTTAGGCTCTTCTCCAAGGGAATTGAGATGGCAGAAAATATCTGCCTCTGATGATCCTAGATTAACTAACTAGAGGGTTATATGTCCAAGGTTATTTTGGACTAAAATACAGTTTGCATTATGCCTCAAATGGTTGCAGGTAGTCCTCGCTTAATGAGCCTAATTGGGACTGGCAACTCTGCCGCTAAGCAAAGTGGTCACTAAGAGGGAAATCATGTGACTGCAACTGTATTTTCCAGCTGGAAAGAAACAAGAAAGACTCGTCAGTTTCACACCTTTATTTGCCTCCTAACCACTCCTCCGCCCTTTGGAATGCTTGAGTGCCTCCTTACTGTCTTGTACGCATCGAAAGCAATGCAATGGTGATGGCAGCCCAAGGCTGGCAGCCGTGGGTGCACTACGAACAGCTTACAGTACTCTCTTGAAATCCCTTCTCCAATCTCTCCTCGCTGTGGGGTGGGGGGAAGAAAAAAGCAAGCAATTTCTGTAGGCAATCTCTCCTTTGAGACTGCCTCCAGCCCCCCCGCCCACAGAGAAGAGAGATTGGAGAAGGGGTTTCAAGAGAGTACTTTGAGCTGTTTGCGTAGCACACCCGCGCTGCCATCACCATCGCATTGCTTTCGATGTGTAGAACAGCAAACCACTTACTCTCTTGCAATCCCCCCTCGCTAAACTTTCTGCTCTGCAAGGGGAGAAAAAAAGAAAAAAACACAGGTCAGGCACAGGACAATGCGTACTGACTGTAATGGCGATCACGTGACTGAGGGACCCTGTTAAGGTGGTAAATTGGTAAAGTTATTTTTTCAGCACCATTGTAACTTCAAACGGTTGCTGAACGAGTGGTTGATAAGTGAAGACTACCTGTATTGACTTTCTTTTTCTGTAATTCCAAAATAGATTTATCAGTCAGGTTATGTATATAGTATCAACTAAACAGGAACATATTACCCTAGTCTTAAAATGCTTTTAGCATATGTACAGCATTAATTCTATTATTTTTTATCAAATTTTATAACCAGGGGGGTATATAATGTATGCTTCAAGAATGATCTGAAAGAGATACTTTGTAATATGCAGGGCATGATTACAGCACCTCTTAAAAAAAAACACTTCCTTCTTCATTTCTACAAAAAATGTGAAAAGAAAAAAACATTGCTGCTTTAATAATATGCATTTAGGATGTTGCTGCTTTAATCCTGATTCTCTGAAACAGCACTATCTTTTTTCAGGCGCATATGGAAGCCTGAAATTGCAGACTTGTTGAAACATGATCCTAATAAATAGGGAATCACTGGTGGAAGAGGTAAGAGTTGTGAAAGTGACATTGCGGAGTTCAGGATGCTACAGAAAAAGAGACTGGAGCTTAGCTGTGCATGCACATTAGGTTTCAGGAGAGCCAATTTCAACAAGTTGAGAGAAGTACTAGGTAAGATCCAATGGCCAGAAATCAGGTGAAAAGATGACTAGGAAGTTGGAAACTTCCCAGAAATAAAATACTGGAAATATGATTGCATACCATTTCATGAGGAAAAAAATGGAAGTTTAGGAAACTTTTGTGGATGCACAGAGAGCCTTCAAGTTTAAAAGTATTTGTATGGGAAATGGAAAACCAAAGAGATATACGAACAAATAGCTAATAACTTCAGAAATGGTTAGGCTAAAATGAGAAAGTAATTTAGGCTTTCAAGGGAAGATCAAAGCTACAAAAAGGACTTTTTTTGCTACATCAGGAGATAAAGGAAGAAAAAGGAGAGGATGGCAAGGTATTAACAGGTGATGGGGAAACAGCAGACCTCAATACCTATTTTGCTTTGAGCTTCTCCACAAAGGACATTAATCTAAGTAAGACAATCAACAAAAGTAGGAAGTGGTAATGTGAGTAAGTAAAAAGATGTTAGAGAGTGCCTGACTATCATGAATGTGTTGAAAACACCAGGACCATTCCAATTACATCCAAAAGGAGCTTCATCTCAGAGCCTCCTTCTGTATTTCTGTATTCTTTGCTATTTCATGGAAGACTGGTGGAGCGCCAGAGGACAGGAGCAAGGCAAATGTCATTGCTATCTTCAAAAAGGGGAATTGGACAGTTTGACTGATACTGGGCAAAATTCTTAAGCAGTTGGATTTAGTTGCATTTAGAAAAAATGCATTGTTGACAGGATGCAGTGTGAGTTTGTAAAAAATAAATTGTATCCAATCAATCTGATCTTTTTTTGATAGAGTGACTGATTTAGCTGACTGAGAATGCAAAGAATTTAATGAAGTCTTACATGAAATTCTAATACAGATGATGACAAATGTGGATTGGACTATGCTAGCATTAGATGGATAAGAAGTTGGTTGAACAACTATATCTGACAAGTGTGTATCAGGAGCACCATGTGAAGTGAGTTGCAGGCTCCACTCTAGGTCTTGTGCTGTTCAGTATGACTGGATGAGAGATTAGAAAATATTACTATCAAATTTGTGGATGACAGTAGATGGAAAACAAATCTCTTCAAGGATAATATAAATATTCATTTATTGTAATGTACTTAGCAGATTTTGGAGAATCTTGGTAAGATAGAATACTGGGCAAAAACTAGCAAGATGAATTTCAGCAGAGAAAAATGCCAAATTGAAGCGATGATAATAGGATGGGGGGGAGGGGAAGCATACTGAATTGCAATCCTAAATAAGGATTTAGGTATCTTGGTGGATCACAAACTGAATATGAACCAACAGTGCGATGCAATTGCAAAAAAAGCAAATGCAATCCTAGCAGCCTGCATAAACAGAACCATGGTGTCATCATGAACAGAAATCATAGTTTTTCCTCTCTATTCTGTGCTGGTCAACCACACCTAACATACTGTGTCTAGCTGTGGACACTGCATCTTAGGAAGGACACTGAGAAACTGGAGCATGTTCACAGAACAATAACCAAGAAGATAAGAGACCTGGAAGGAAAAACATGAACAGGTGGAGGCATTAGGTGTGTTTTGCTTGGAGAAGAGAAACCTGGAAGGATAACATGATCGTTATCTTGAAGTATCTAAAGGACTGTCATGTAGAAGATGAGTCAGAATTGTTCAGAGGTGTTCCAGAAAACAGTACAAAAACAATAGGTTTAAATTTCAGGGAAGCAGATTTAATTGGACACCAGGAAAAAAAGTCCTAATGGTAAGAACTACTTAACAATGGAACAGGCTGCCTCAGGAGATAATGAGCTTTCCTTTATTGGAGGTATTTAAATAGGATGGCCATTTGCTGTTGGGGAGGTGACAGTACTGGATTCTTGCACTGGGGAGGGGGTTGGATGGGATGATCTCCAAGGTCCTTCCCAATTCCCATGGTTCCATGCACAGCCCTGATATCCAGCTTTTCTAGCATTGCCACTTTCCTACCACAATGAATACCTATCAGAAATCCCATATAGTAAATCTGCACAGGTTTGCAGGACAAGTGCATTCTACAACACAAGCATACTTAAAAATAAATTCTACTGATTTTAACAGGGCTCATTCTTGATAAATAATACAGAATTAAAAATATATTGTTATTTATGTGGAATTGTTCACTGGGAAAAAAACCCCTACCGGATCTTTTATTCCACCACCACTCTTTCCAAGTCCTTCTCCTTTCTTCCATCCCATCTTCTCCAACATTTTGTGGCCTCTGTTATTCTCACTAATTTCCCTTCAAAAACAAAATAGCAAACATGGGGAGGGGGAGTTAGAACAATAATTGCTTGCATTTTTATCCTGCAGCTTCAATAATGGAAGATACTGAGATCATATTTTAAGATTTGTTTTGAATATATATTTATATATAAAATATGTTGTCTTATGCAAGGAAATATTTGAAAGTTCTGGAAGTAACATACACATATAATATTTTACAGTGCCCATTTTTCTGATCACATTATACCAATCCTGACTTCCAATTAATGCAGATGTCAAATTCTTATCAGACTCAATTTAAAGTGCTAGTTGTTAACTACAAAATTTTGGACCCAGAACTGAGTTATCTATTCTCAAGGTAGATAATGCCCAGAATACAAAATACATTTTTGGTACAAGCAACCTTACTTCCCCAAAAGGGAAGTTAGACCACCTGCCAAAATAGAGAAAAGAGACCAGCTAAGATCTAGTCGCTGCCAAACTTTTAATGTATTTTAATCCTGCCTATCACTGCATCATTGGTTGTTTTGACTTGCTTTAATCAATATTTGCATATATGCCAAATTATTTCAGATTTTTGATTTACAGAACTGAATCTATGCAATACTGTACATTACTGTAACACTAATCTGCAACTTTTAATTATGTAACATTAAAAAAAAACAACTTACACATGTATAGAGGCTGGAGTATCATCTCTATAAAAGTTCCCTTCACTTCCAATGGTCTCACGGCGCTTTCCTGCTCTGTCTTTATAATTTGGATTTTTCATCACCTTATCAACTTCATATTCTGTATTCTTTTAAAAACATAAAGGAACCTCATAAACTTAGTATAATCTTTTCTTTTTTAAAAAAGTATTATATATAATTTCAAATTCATATTAGATATACTGAAAGCAATTTACTGAAAAAGGTTCTGTATTTTGTAATCCTAAAAAACTTGTCTCTTTAAAAGCTTAGTTACGTATACAGCCACAGAAAAGTGCAGTCAAAATAATGAGACATGAAAGATCTTAAAAAAACAGGCTGAATTATTTATGTATTTTTAATTTAGAAAAGATGACTAGGAGGATAGAACATGGCACAGGCTCATAAAATATGAATAATAAAGTGGGAACAGAAATATGTTTTCCTTCTCTTTATCCCAGATTCACAAATGCCATGTTGGGGAGTGTAGCAACAGAGTTCTTGCCCTCAAGCCTTATCTGTGGGCTTTTCAGAAGTACCTGGTTGCCTGCAGTAGGGAGCTAGTTTTGGGCTAGATAGGTCTCTGATCTTGTCCAGCAGGTCTGCTCTTACACTCTTAATTTACTATAAAAATGGACCACCTTAAAAGGCAATATTGTGTTTACAATGGTGGTACAGACACTGTCAGAGCCTTTGCCTATGGTCCAATCTGGCAAAAAACCCTCAAAGATAAAAACTACTATAAATTTGTCTTAAATGGTCACATCATCATAAGTGGGGTATAATTCATGCATTTATACCCCACCTTTTCTTTGGGAGTGCAGGCAGTATACATGGGATTCTCCCTTATTTTATCCCCATGACACACACAACAGGTTGGGCTGAGAGACAGTGACTAACTCAAAATCACTAAATGAGCTCCATGGTTGAATAAGGACTTGAACTGATGTCTCCACAGTTTCAATCTAGCACAATATCCTAATTCTATCACAAGACATCTCATTCTATATTACAAACCTTGATAAGTGTCACAACTGAGGCAGATGGAATTAGACTACAGTCCAAATGCTTAAAAAAATGACAAATTCTAAAATACTGTAATTATCAGTTAACAATAAATTTAAAAATAAATCTACCTGTAAGCCATATTTTACACGTATTTGTTTTAATTCTTTTCTTCTAACTAATTCCTTTTCTTCTTTTGTCAGTGCAGGGCCATCTGAAATACAAAGGATTTCATCAAATAAGAAAACCAGTAAATTACTGCATGTAGATAGGAATCAGGTTAGAAAGGATTGCTTCAAGTCATGTTAGGCTTACACCTATACTAATGTATTGATCTACCTTACAGTACCTTCAGGACTAACCAACATTATTAGTGCATCAACATTCATGAGCGGGAGCTCACTCCATCAGATGTTCAGAATGGACAGGACTTTAAACACAGAAAGTAGAAGGGCTGGGAAAAAATAAGTTAGAAAAATGGGTGTATACAGTTGTAGAGACTGAGAGGAAGAGGTTCAGTATTACATTATCAATTAGCTAATGGAATAGGATAAGAATTATTTGCTAACACACACACTGTATTTAAAGTCCTGTAAGAGCAAGCCACTCTATACATCTGATGAACTGTTACTTACAAAGGCTTATGCCCTAATGAAGTTGGTTAGTCTTGAAGATGCTTCCAGACTCCAGGGTTGTGCAGACTAACACAGTCTTCCCCCTCCATTAACAAACTTGTGAAGGGGCTTAAGTTATTTACCATTTCTAAACTAATTTATTTCTGAGTTGATGAAAGGCTAAGCTTTTCTGTTAAATTACTCTGAGATGAGCAGGATACAAATGTATATCCTTTAATTGTCCCATGGCTATCTATACATTAGGACAATATCCTATCTTCACTAATATTTAATACTTTTTAGTTTCACTTTTAACTGAAGTTCAGTGAAACAGAATAATAAGTTCATTACCAAGAATATGGATGATCTAACTTCAGCTTCTTGTCCTCACATTACTGTGTACTAACTACTTCATTGGGGTAGACCTGTATGTGAACTCCTGTCCACGTTTTTTGCAGTTCCCCAAACCAACAGAAATCATGCTACCAAAATTCAACAGCAAACTGATGGAAAAAACTGAGATATCATTTCTAGCCAATTTTCATCATCAAATAAAACATGTGTCTGAGAATAGGACTAATATTAAAGAACCACCTCTTCCTTGGAAAAACACATATATGTAAAATTCAGAAACCCTACCCTATCCTTGCATTATTATCCAGATTGCTGTGGCTCTTAGTTACTGCTAATTGAAATGTAGCCTCCCCATGTGGAAATAAATACAGTATTGTATTGTCTTGAGCTATCCAGAATCTTTGGCTAGGTGGATCTTATCTAAACTGAGCACTGATAGTGGCGAAACCGGTTGGAAAGGAGGCAAAGAACTGTGTTTTCCTCCTAACTTGTCTTGCCAATATTCTGAGCATTTTTTCCTTCAAGTACCATGAAAGGAAGTCACATAACATACATCCTCTGAATGGACAATGACCACCAATTTGAGGCAGTTGTTACAGCACACAGAGCATTATTGCTCATTCAGCAGGTACTCTGTAGAAAACGAAAAGATTATCCTCTAGTGAATCTGAGATCTCTTGTAAATTGTTTTCAGGTGTACAGGCAAATGCAGGAAACTAGGAGATCAGATACAGAGTAAAGCTGTCAGCTGACTAAAGAACATAAATATCTGCCTATACATTCTGCATCCTGAATTGACAGTCAATTTGAGAATCTAACTGAAAACAGAGATAAAATAATAAAGCTTAGAAACTTTCATTTCTTGAATTACTCTGCTTGATTTGGTTAAGACAGAGGCATACACCATCAGACTGAATATTTTGCTCATTAAAAGCACAAAAAGCTTCAATACTGAAAAAATCCATCAATTAAAAAAAATATTAAGACAATCTTCAGCAAATCTCAGTTACTGCTAAACTGAGCATTTTCAAAAATGGGGAATTCCATCATTAAATATTTGTTCCAGTAGTCCTAAATATTGTCTGAGAGTTGTATGACATCTTATAATTTGGGGGGGCGGGTCTAGTAGTTAAGGCTCCAGGCTAGAAACCAGGAGACTGTGAGTCCTAGTCCCACCTTAGGCATGAAA